CTGTCCATACTGACCAATACTGTCCATATTGTCTCATACTGTCTCATTCGTCCATACTGTATCATACCGTCCACACTGTCTCATATTGTCTCATACTGTCCACACTGTCTCATATTGTCTCATACTGTCCATACTGTCTTATACTGTCCACACTGTCTCATACTATCCATACTGTCTCATACTGTCTCATACTGTCCCTACTGTCTCATACTGTCTCATTCGTCCATACTGTATCATACCGTCCATATCAGCTCATACACATATATTTTTCACAGTCAGATGTGATATCAGAATAAACTTTTTTGAAATGCCACTCTGCCAGGAAGAAGTCATTACTTCAAAGGAAACATGAAGAAGGCAGATTAATGTTTGCAAACGCACACAGGGACAAAGGCCTTCATTTTTGGACACGTCCTGTGGTCTGATGAAACTAATATTGATTGTTTTTTATGTACAGTGCCCTGAGACAACGTATGTTGTGACTTGGCACTATATAAATAAACTTGAACTTGAACTTGAACTTGAATATTGAACTGTTTGGTCATAATGACCATCGTTACGTTTGGAGGAAAAGCCTGAGAACACCATCCTGACTGTGAAACACGGGGGTGGCAGCATTATGTTGGGGGGTTGACTGGTGCACTTCACAGAATAGATGGCATCATGAGGAAAGAACATTATGTGGAAATACTGAAGCAACATCTCAAGACATCAGACAGGAGGTTAAAGCTTGGACACAAATGGGTCTACCAAATGGACAATGAGCCGAAACCAAACTGGTTCCAAAGTGTTTCAAACAGAACAAAGTCAAAGTTTTGGAGTGGCCTTCACAAAGATCTGACTTCAGTCCTGTAAAAAATGTATTGCCAATTTGTGAGAATCTTGTGGAAGGAGATCCAAGACAAACAGTTTAAGGGCTATGGTACCAAATGTGGTGTATTTAAACTTTTGACTTTGAAGAAAGTAATAAAAATTGCTTTAAAAATTCTCTTTATCCTGGCATTTAGTGTTTATTCTGAGTTTATGTCAGTAGCTGCGTTTCCATTAATCATGAAAATGCACATATTAGCATTTCAAAAATAAGTTTTCTTAATGGAAACACGTTGATTTAGAAAAGACTTATGTTTTTCGACAAAATGGTTTTGCACGAGGTTAAGGTGGTTTTTCAGCCGTATTGAAATTGGTGCATTTTGCAAAACTGCAATGGAAACATTACGGGAGTCACGTGATCAACAACCGGACGTTTCTACTGGCGAAAAAGATGATGAAGAAAACAACAGGAAGTAGAAATAGTCGTAAAATCACTGAAGTAGTAAAAGTAGTAAACTCACCAACTACAATTTCCCAAAAATGCTGCATACCTAGCTGCTCACAAGTATAAAGGG